GGAGGCCATCCGGCAAGCCTCTCCCCCTCTCTCACAAGGTCCTGCACAGTTTTTAAATCCAGAAGAGAGAAAAGCAAACCCGTGGCTATGACAGCGTGTGGAGAAAATGACGACAGCAGATGGAGAAACATCCTCCGGTCCAGGAGGATATTCTTCCCCTGAGCGCAGACGCTGGGAACCTGATCCTCGGACAGCTGGTCCCGCGCCCCGGGGAGACGGAGGCAAAACGCTGCCTCTGGCCGATGCCGGCGAGCAGCTCGGAGCAGGTCCTCGGCGTGCACCATGGCTGCCGCGTCTCCTCCCGGGACCGCTCTCATGGCAACAGGGGGCATCAAGGGGTCGGTGGTCGGTTTGTGGGGTCCACCTCCCCACTGCAGGCATGGCTGTCGCTGCTGTTCCCCGGGGACGCCCTGCCCCGGAGCGGATTGCCGGCACCGCGCTGGGTGCCGCGCTTGCTCCAACCTTGTTGGACCACGATTTTTTCTCCCTGGGCACACTGGCTTGCCATCCAGAGGGGGGCTGAAGGAGCTGATGGGGGGAAACAGCCTACGAGCACATACTTTTCAAATATCCCAATGGTGCTAGGCTAACCCATTTTATTCATAATTTATCCAGCTGTAACTCAGGAATATGTTCCTGAAGGGTAGAGGCAAGACGCCGTGACGGCTGACACCAGCACACCAAGTGGCACATCAGCGGTGGGCAGCGGAGAAGACCCCGAGCAGCAGCAGCCCCCACGCCGCTCTGCGAAGCTGCGGTTCAACCCACGGCAGCCGAGATGGAGGTGTGACGTGCCGGCACACAGCAGAGCGCTCACCACACCGGGCAGCGGCCGGCTGGGCCATTAACCCACCCTGAAAGCCGACGGACCAGGACATTCAGGCACATGCAGAGAGGGACCTCCTGAGTCCCCGCTGTGGCACCCGAGGGCAGGGAGGGGCTGATAGAACTGAACACCAGCAGCTGGAAACTTCCGCTGGGACTTTCTACAGCCCAAAATGATCCTTTCTGGCAGTTCCCACAGGTAAGTGCACAACAGGGGAGGTGTGCGTCCACCAGGACACGACTCCCTGGATGCAGCTGGCTTTGCCAGAGAGAGCAAGGAGGAGGAGGGGACGCTCCCGAGCCCAGGGCCAGGACAAGAGGGGAGGAAAAAACATTGCCAGGATATTACTGGTCATCTTGGGCGAGGCTCAGCAGAAAAGGGCTGGACTATATCCTGCTCATTTTCATGAGGCTTATGCTCCTGAATCGGTATGGCACATTTTCAAGAGGAAACGCTGGCCCAGGGCACAGCCAGCCTCGACGGTATCACGGGAAGGTGCCTTCAGAGAAAGCGCTTCCGCGGTGCAGCAGGAACTACCAAACGTTCATCCCTTCTGAAAACCTCAGACCACCAGTTGAACACGAAAATACCTGGGAGCCTCACTTAAGACAGCACGTTGCTCGATCCCAGCCACACTGCCGCAGGGTTCACCGCTTTTTCGATGTAGTTGGGCACACTTATGATCTACAAAGACCGAAGCCAACGGCGTTAACCTACATGAAGGCAGGATGCGTGCGTTGCTGCTGTTTTAGCTGCTTTCACCTGCGCTTCCTACCGTGCTGCTCCAAGAATCCGAACCGACCACGGTGAGTGAGAGGGTGAGAAAATGGGAATGGACTGACTTTGCAAACAAAAGAAGCAGAGAGCAAAGCATGGAGTAAAGACTGGTAGTGGTGGAGAAAGAGAGGAGAGGGCAGGAGGATGATATAGCATAAATATTTATTTTTCCTCAACTCTGCAGCCCTTTGAATGATCTCTCCCGGTGGGCTCCTGCTGTCTGTACAATCCAGGACACAGGCTGTAGGAAAGCTTAGGAGTGGATCAAGGGCGTTTGATGCTACAGCAGGGCTCCTTCTACCAGCCTCATACAGACCTTGCTGCCTTGACCGCTCCCTGCCCTTTACCAAGAGCACCCATAGCTGCAAGGCTATACATTATATGCCGAGCTAGCACGTGGCACCAGCGCAGCAAAGGCTTCCCCTAAGGCAGAATCAGATTTGCTGTACGGCTTAGTTATTCTGCTGTGCTCAGCGTGGCACAGTCAGGGGCTTAGAGACAGCCTCTACAACGCAAATCCAACAGTAATTTCTTCCCTTCCCTTCTGTAAGAGCTGTGAATTACTCTTTTCACTGGATTACTGACACTCTCCTTTTGCTTTGGCTGCCACCTCTCTTCCCCATTGGAAAAGGGCCACCAGCGTGGGGATTTGGTCCTACGCTCCCATCTCCATCAGGTTTATCCACGGGTACTACTTGAAGCAGGCACTGGCAGCAGAAACCTCTGTGCACACAGCACCCTCCAACCCCTCTCCCCCCCAGGGACACCCAGTCCCCTTCATTAACATTAAAAAACACACATCAGCCTTCAAAATCAGAACAGCTCTGACCTTATTTGCACCGGATCCTCTGAAGCCAATTGCAAAAGAGAAGCAAACAGTGAGGAGTTCATGAAAGCAATTCACTGGCCACGCGCTGGCCTTGCCTGGAGAGAAGGTCCCTACCAGGTTAACCCCCAGCAGACTTTAGCACCGTATACAGCTTGCACGGAGAGAAGCGATCTCCGAGCCTTTCTCTGGGGGAACGGCTTGTTTGAGATGATTTCTCTTGTGAGGTCTCGCCAACGTTGGCATCTGCTGGATACGAGAGAGGCTAAAGCGATCCAGCAGCCCAAAGCACTCAAGGTAGCACTCTCCTCCTACCAAGGCAGCCAGGAGCCAGGAATTTTTTGGGTTCCATTTTCGTCCTTGGCAATGTCTCCTTGGAAGGCCTTTCTCAGCCTCAGCTTCCCCATCTGTTCTGTTTGCCTCTTTGGGAGGCTGTGGAGCTCGAGGGATGTATGTAAAGGCCTCCAAGACTGGTTATATAAAAGAGAAAGAGCAATACATTGGCTTGTGCTGTGGCATGCCTTCGTGGCAGTATTTTTAGAGATGCATCTAAGCAGGATCTGCTAATGATGCAGTTTGACAAAAAATTAAAAGCAACAAATTGGGTACCCAATTCTTCATTTCTTTTTTCTGAAACGAACAGAGAATGGATGAGCATGGATTTTGGAGTTGTCTGCTATTATGTAGCTGAGGCAAATCTTAGGTGAAAAGTGCAAAACTCTACTGCTAAATCAATTATCCTGCATCAACAGGCGGTCTTTGCTATGGGAACAGGGAGAAAACAGTCCTACCTTCCACTGAAGGGTGACCAGTTAGGTTCTGACAAGCTACTAAGTGCCCGTGGGGAATAAGGAGAAGACCCCAGTTATTCTCTCCTAATGACCTCTCAGCACCACGTCCTTTTCTAATTGGGATCCCAAAGTCACACCACATTTCCCTCTGCCACTCTTAGGGGAGTCATCAGGATTGAGACTTTAACCTGGTCAGCAATTAAGTGTTTCACAGGCCTCAGCTGAAAAAAAAAATCATGTTTATACAGCTATTTTTGAAACAGTACATCAGCCTTCAGGCTCCCAGGACAAGCCCTCCTTTCTACAGAGACAGGAAGGTCGATGGTAAACAGGGACTGTGCGATGTTACCAGAAGCATTCCCAGCTTTTATCAGTCAAACTGGGACAGCTGCAACTGAACTCAAATTGGCAGTAATTAGTCTAAATTTTAATTATGCTGCTTCTCATAATCCCAAAACAAACATTACTAAATTAACCAAGATGTTGCTCTTTAATTGTCCATTGTGGAGCAGGTGCAGTAATTTCCCCCCGCCCCGATACTCCAGAATCCATCATCTGCCTGGGGCTGCTTGAGGCTTTGCACGTGCTGCGTCTCGCAGCCTGGGCTCAGGGATGCGCTGGTCCTGCAGGCAGCCCGGCTTTGAGACAGACAAGTTAGCGAGGGGGTGAGACATCCAAAACAGAGACTGTGTAAATGATGTCAGGAGAGAACCTACGCCTAAGGGCAGAGGTGCCTACGGATAAAGGAGTAATGGTACAACCTGCCGGCACGAATGAAGATGGGGTGACTTGGAATGTTGTCCTGCCTGGATAAATAAATGTGAAAGGACATTGCCCCTATCGACTTCCTCACCAAGAGACTTCCAGCCTTTTCCCAGAAGTCTGTTCCCTAACACTGAGGATAAGGAGACTATTTTTAATTTTACCAAGGAGAAAGTGCAGAACAGAGAGATGAAATGACTTGGCCACGGTCACAGGCAGCTCCCCGGCAGGGCAGGAGGACGGGGCGCCCTGACGGCCCATCCCAGCCCTTCCACCGTCTGCTTCAGTGCCGACACCTCCACACCGAGCGCCTGCAACGCCCCTGAACTAGAGACCATGCAAACCACACACCCCGCTTGCACCTTAGCCGAGGATTTAAATCAAGCATCTGAATGGACGCAGGCTCAAACAGCGCTCCGGAGATGGGTGCATCCACGACCCACATGGGGCACGGACCTCCAATGACTGCTGCCTGTGGACCTCGTTCGGAAGAAAGCCACCCGGGGCCGCCCAAGGAACGCGATCCGCTGCTTGGGGTACAGAACATTTCTGAACTCGGGACGGCTGCCGGAGGCTCCCTCGCAGCACCCCAGTTAGACCAGACAGGATTCCCACATCTATGGCCCACCCAGTCCTTTGCCTCTCTAACGCCAGCACAGTGAATCAGGAGAGGTCAGGGATTTAGGGATGTGGATGATAACCAGTCCCTTGGATCCTATTGTACATAGGTCTCCAAAAGAGCCATCGCTTGCTGGCTGTTACTACTGAAAGGGACCAAGTTAAAGCCAGTGATCCAGCAGTGAGAAGCTCCAACTCCCTCCTCGTTGTTCAGACGTTCCTTAGCCAAAACACAACCATGCCTCATCCCCTACCAAAACAGAGGTAGAGAGTCACTCTGAAACACAAAATTCCTGAATGCTGCTTTTTGCCACCTCTTAAAAACAGCACAAATTTCAAACCCTCCAGCAGCACCAACTACTATCTCATAGTATCTAGCCATCGTGTTTCCTTTGCAATTCGCTTGTGAAGACCCCAAATAAGTCAAGGCTTCAAATAAGGTCAGTGTTTGTTTGATTAGTTGTGTTACCTTTGTTCTCACAGGTGCATCACCCAAGTGAAAGACTGACTTATTTAGCGATAACCGCGTGCCCAGGAATTCTCATTTGTTTAGCTACAGTTAAACAACAGCACCTCGTTGGTTTAGGCACCCACTGAGTTCACAGATATGGGAATGGACCATGGAGCACTCCTTAGAGGGTCCACTGGCACAGGAGAGCGGTTGAAGAAACAAACATGTGGATAAATCGTGAAATAAAGGCCCAAAAGGAAAGGGCACAGGGAATCTAGGAGAAAGAGCACCCGAGCAAGCATCAGCTCTGAGACACAGCAGGCAAGAGGGAGCTAGAAAGGAAACAGCAATATACCCAAAGCTCTCAGTGCGACAGCGAACTCCAGAGGTGACATCAGGAGGGGGTAGATCAGGGATGGAGTCCATCTGAAGGAAATAAGAGGAGGTGGTGTGATGGTAATAGATAGGGTGGACATGGCAAGCAGGAGCAGATGCAGTGGTGGTGGATGAGGAGCAAGAGGTGGAAGAGGTGGTGGTGGCAGCAGATGGTGGGCTGGTGCCGGGAAGGTCGGAACTGAAAGACTGTCCAGAGGAGAGGCTGTGCATTCGACGGAGAGACACTCTGCCTGCCCGGTAATGGGCAGGTTGGCCCGACTCATTCTGGCCTTGCACATAACTCTCTACCAACCTCTGAGATCCGTGGGCATGCTGTGGGTCCACCAGGCGCTGGCGAACTGTGCTGGGCAAGGCGGGAGCTGTAATGAGAGAAAGGGGAGAACGCTGAAGGCAGCTGGAAAGAGACTGCGCATCAAATCAGCAAGGAGGCACCGTGATAAAGCTGCCACCCACGGCCAGGGCTACGCACCACAGCACCATGCCTTCTGTCACCGGGACACTGGCTCGGGCCACTGCAGCCATCCCACCTTGTGCTATAAGTTACGCTGGTTTAATGCAGAAGAAGCATTAAGCTGGCGCTACTGCTTAACATGCTAGATTAATGCCCAGCCCATGAAAACCTACGTTTGACGTTCCTGATATAGGTGCTTTCTGAACACCTTATCTGATCGTCTTGCTTGAAGCAGAAACTGGCTGCGTGATTCACCCTACCCAACTTTACATCAGAGCTACCACCCAGGCTCCCTTTATAGCAAACGTGAAGAAGTCGCTACTTTCAGGGCATGATTCATTTCATCCTAACACAGACATCCAAATCGTTCAGATGCTTCATGCCTTGGTAGTACTATTTCCCTCCACAGCCTAAAAAAGGAGCATCAGTTCGGATGTAGGCACCTAAAGCCGGCGAGGTGAGCTCCACCCCCGGAGCTCAGCTCTGCTCCTGCTTCCAGCATCGTCGTGCCGGTGCGACTCCTGGAGCAAGGCGCAGGAATGTGGGACCGAAAGCAGGGTTGCAAAGTAGAGCTGCACTTTGTGTTCAGGCGAAGTTTCTATGAAGATGCAGAAACCTCCCAGCCTTGTACCCTTCTGCAGGGCAGAACGGCTGGGACACGTGGCAGATGTATAGTAACTATGATATTAATTGGGTAGGCACAGGCTTTCGGCATCAGTCCACGCTGAAATTATAGCTCTGGTCCAAAAGTGGTATCATCTGTTCCCAGTCTGTTCGATAATTAGCTTACTGATCAAAGAGACGCTCAGTTTGAAAAATATTTTTCTCTAATTGCAAATTCATCTTGGTTTGGAGAAACAAATTGGACTGCCTCCTTCAGTGCACGTGAACCACCTAATTAACAGGTTTTAAAGATCATAATGATCTTTCTGGCCACGTAGTCTTACCTGTCAGGTAACAGAGGCCAGAGAGCTCAGCCAGTCGTCTGCACCAAGCCTACACTACCTCTGCACCACCCCTACACACTGAGCCGGAGCCAGGGGGTCGCCTTCAGAGAGGCAGAGGGAGGCACCGTCACCTACACGGAGATTTCTGCACGCTCGTTTCGATCAGGCAGAGCATTACGCATGGAAAACTAAGATCCACTGGGCTGCATCGCCATCCTGCAGACAACCGGACTGGTTGTATTTAATCCACTAGCTGTAATTTCCATACAAGATGTTCCTTCTTTTGCAGGAGATAAGGTGTTCAGGATCGTTCAGAATTTCTTATATGCGTAAGAAATAAATGTAAAAATGGGTTAAAAAGGTGAACAGACAGGAAAGCTAAGAAATGGAGTAGAAGGAGAGCTCCTTCAGGAATCGAAGAACCAGCAAATCACTGCTATAAAAACACACAGCTAGGAAACACGTGTCTCCTGCAGCTCATCTGACAGCAAAACTCAGGTACTGAAGGACCACTACTGGGACATATTTCAAGTGGAAGAAGGAACAAGCAAGACTAATTCAGGCAACTTTGCTGTTTCCACATCCCCAAGGTTAATCAGAGCTTCTCTTCACAGGGTCCCACTGCTGAGGTTTGCTACTTCTTGCTTTACCACACTGCCCACCTACAAACCTTTTGCTGGAGCTCTTTATACCATCCACTATTTCAAGAATTTTTTTTCTCTTAAGAGCTCCAGAGCTGAAATTAAGTGAAATCGAGTCACACGGAGTCAAGGTGGAAAAAAAATCCCTTGCTCCAGTAGGGACTGCAAAAAACTGATCAGAGGAGGCGAGGGGGAGAGTGTTAATGGGCAGAACTGGAGGCTGTTCCAGCTCTCCGGCTGTGCCTCTGCAGCAGCAACGCTGCTAACTACGGCAGCACAGACAGGAATAGCACAGCTGATCCCTACTTGCCTGCTGCTGGCAGGGACGCAGTTTATAAGGAGTCTCAGTTTGGGGGGCTAACGGGGATCCAAGCTCTGCAGAATAACTAACGGGGGGATTATGGGTTTCTGCTACAGGTTTCTTTTTCTCTTGGGCCATGCTTTTTTCCCTAAGGGGTTTGTTGTTTTTTTTCCCTGGTGTTCCACTCCTCATTTACCAACTTGACACCTTTCACCTTTGCACTCTCCTTTTGCACGATTTACCCTGCAATAAGCACAGGACCAAAGGCTGAGACCTCGCCTCGCAGAGCCACAGCGGACCCTCGCTTCCCACAAACATCGTTTCACTCCAGACACTGCACGTGTCTTATCAACATTCACCAAATAACCTCCTCATCATCTTGAGGAAGATCACCACCATGCAAGCCCTAACCAACGCCAGCGCACAGCCTGGCCTGCTGCTGCACATGCTCGTCCTCCTCTGTCCCACGACGGCCGGCATTCGGCAGCGCTCCGCAAAGGGAAGGCTTCCAGCCGAGAACAGGAGGCTCGGCGTCTCTGGGGCTGAGCGCGCTGGCCCCATGGCCCCAGCATCAGGGCACCAGGGGACAGATTAGCATAATAAGTGGCATTGCTCAATTTATCCAAGGACACTGAGGGAAGAAAGGCACGGCAATTGGCAGCAGCCCCCGCGGGGAGGGATTGGGGTCAGCCTTGGCCGGCAGCGGAGGGGCTGCGAGCAAAGCCTGCACGGAGAAGGAGGTGGGATGGGAAAGGGAACATTATCACCTCCTCTTGGTCTAGCCCGAATCCTTACTTTCCACTTCAGGGGTAAAAACAACCCTCCAGATTTCATAACTGGGTTTTTTTTGAAAAGCAAAACCCAAGAGCACGTGAGAACTACAGCGAACTGTGATTCTTCTTCATCCCACCAGACTCTTCCCGAGGGTTAGTAAAGATGCTGATGACTCAGTGAAGAGAGGTACATTCATTAGTTTTCCGTGCCAGAAAGTTGGAAAATTTGTGTATGTATTTTAGTCCAGAAAAAGGACAGAGGGTAGAACAAAAAATTAAAATATAATTGAAGAGAACCAAACCAGGGTATTTCCAGAGGGACTGATCCTCCGAGGACAGAGACGAGCGGTCACTGAACCTGCGCCCAAAAAGCCAGGCTGCATCTGGGATGGGCCAACCGGGTGTGAATGGGAGAGAGAAAAATATGATTTACCGGGAGAATCATCATGGGCAGTCAGCAACATCCCCAACATATCTGGGGAGGAAAAACTCTGCGCTTCTCTCCTGAAGCAGTTTTTGTACACAAAGAAAGAAAAATCCTCTAGGGAAAGGCAAACACTCCCTCGCTTTGGGAACTTGGGTGCCCAGCGCTGGCTACACAGAGCTACCACCCGCAGGGATGCCGATCAGCGCTGCGGCACGGAGGCAGGCAGGCAAGCTCGCCGCCAGTCACTGGGCTGATGGGAACTGCAAGTGCAAAAATCCCACTCGAGGTGTCTCAAGCAAGGCACAAAGAAGCTGAGGCTTAAAATCTCGGATGAAGGCTCATGCCTTATACAGCTCACGTCCTCCAGAGAGCATGCTTCAGGTGTTACTCGGAGACTTTAGCCATCCCTCTCTCATTAATACCTAGCTTGCATCTTTGCAAGTGTTTCATTAGAGCTGTCTAGCTTAGTTTCTAATGGTAACTGATAAATCACAGAGACTAGTAAGTAGGACACCATTATCTGTTTGATGCTT